TCCAGTTTGATGAACGCCACTTTGCCCTTCGCTGTGATCCTCATTCGCCCGGACCAGTCTGGAGTATCCAGCTTCCAGTCAGCCGCCCTGCAGATAAATCCCATCATCAGGCTTCTATGACTTATGATGGAACCCCGTCTTAAAATCAACAATCATTCAAAAACATCTTGACTGGAGTAACTCTGGATCCACAAAGCGTCTGTAATCTCACCGCGAGATGAAAGACGGTTTGTGATTAAGAGAATATGTCGGGCTGTTGACTGATGGTCAAAGAGAAAACATGTGAGTTAATAAATCTCTATAATTTATCATTCTGTGACCGTATCATGGACACTTGAGGAGCTGTTGGAGGGATAAATGTTTGGGAGTCATCTGTGATTTCTGACACGCTGAATTATTTGAAGACTGAGCTCACTGAACACCCTGATAACGTCTACTGCGTTGTTTTCTGTGTGAAAGAAGAGGACAACCATCCGTCCAAGCTGTCACCATACTGTCCTGTCAAACAGCCCGTATCGACCAGGTGTTACGCAGAGAAATACATCCCTGCAGAGAAATACATCCCTGCAGAGAAATACATCCCTGCAGAGAAATACATCCCTGCAGAGAAATACATGCACCTTGCAGGACAATTCAAAATATGGAAGCGATCATTTCTACTCTGCAGAACTTTGCATCCTCCCTTAAAATACTTGGCTGTCGTATTTATCATCCTCCCTTTAGGACACTTCACGTTCATTGAGAATATTCAATCAGAAGATTTGTCATCACAGATCTACACCCAGTAATAAGATTCATTCCGTTTTCTAACACTTCGGCGCGGTGCATGCAGTTCTCGGCAGGGATGCATTTCGCGACATAACACCGGTGTGATGACAAATACCGCAATCACATCTGTTACAGCTCAACACCTGAACGACGAAGCCACGCAACGGATTCAACACACACACACACACACACACACACACACACACACACACACCACACACACACACACACACACACACACACACACACACACACACCGCACAGAACCGAGATAATGCGGGCTTTGATGGTTTCTGACAGTGAACACCTTTACATCACATTTCACGGGACCGTTAACGTCCCACCGTGCACGTGCTTACCTGTATGCGCGGTTTGAAGCTCGCGGAGGGATGCGGTAAACGTTGACATCAGGTTTCACGCACAGAATCGACTCGTACTCGCCCTCGGCCGCCATCTTGGATCAACTGTTATTGATGTGGGAGTCGTGGTGTGTGTGTGTGTGTGTGTGTGTGTGTGTGTGTGTGTGTGTGTGTGTGTGTGTGTGTGTGTGTGCATCACAGACGGTACTAAGGGTTCTTCTTGTGAAGCCGCTTTAAATGTTTTTATTAAATCAAAATCTGATTTTGATTTTGCCACCCCAAAAACATTCCTCCATCAGTTTAAATATATCCTCACAGTCCCTCTCTGATCTTTCCTCACATGTTTTAACTTCATTTTCTTGACATTAAGGGGTCTATTTTACCCTTCAAACATCCGGTCCCACCAGAACAAAAGACCTTCATAACAAAGTTAAGAATCATTTTGAACCCTTCTAATAAATCTTTCAGATAAAGATTTTGGATTTGAGAGAAATGAATGCACCTTTAAAAGTTATAATGAGACACAGAACATCTTTTTGTATCGTGCTCTCGTTCCCACAGTTGTTCTGGAAACAGTTCAAGGATCGGTTTCTCAGCAAAACCAGTAAGAAACCAGTCATAGCTCATACTGTGAAACTTTAATTAACAGCTTTTGTTTACATCAGTGTATGAAGTGACCCCGCCTTTATTTGAGACAGGCGTTAATATGAGACTTTAATCATTCTCAAACTAAACTTGTGTACAGCAAAGACAGGACGGGAGTAAAAAATTGTAAATGTACTCCAGAAAGAATATTTAACTTTAGCTTTGTAAGACAGCACGCCGACCTGCTGCACGACCAGCGTCTTGTTCATGGACAAATGTGGAAGTATTGCTGCTTTTTTCCAGATTTTAAATTTGCTGACTTAACACTAAATGCATCCTGCTCCACTTTTCAGAAAATGTGTGCTCAAACAGGTTGTTTGGAGATTTTCCCTTCATGACATCACAAAGGGCAGTAGCCCCTCCCCCAGGTGGGTGACACTCCCACAGCTAGGTGTTTGTTCTGCCCTCTGAGTCTGCCTTCTCACCGTAAACAATAGGACATGGAGCGAGAAAGACCGACACCACCCAAGCCCTTCCAGAGAGGGGCGTGGTCAGACACAGCTCATTTACATATTTAAAGGTACAGACACAGAAACAGCCTGTTCTGAGCAGGGCTGAAATAGAGGGGTTTATAGACATGATCAAATACAGGATCAGAGTGGATTTAGAACAAGAAACTTCACACATGTTTTGAGGAGCTCTGACACTTATTTACACTGAAGGAGAGGAGGAGGAGGAGATGTCACCTTTAATTAAATGTAACACCTTCAATTCATAAAATCCAAAATGTGCCCAAAAAAACTCTTTAAATTACTTAAAAGAGACCTCAAGAATAAAATGTCTTGAAATGTTTGTTGTTGTTTAGTTCATGATTGTCTTTCTTGTTTGTTTATTTTAATATTATAAACAATATCCTGTTATTCGTGGAATGCTTTTATTTTCCTAAGTTATGTTTGTTTATTTTGCTTGAATACATTTTATAAGTGTAGCATGTTTTGCCTTAAAGTTTGTAAATTTGTATTAATTACAATAAAGTTGACATCTCTAAAGGGGCGTGAATTTGGAGGTGTTGAAACTGCGGAAGCGGAAACCGTGTCGTGTCCGGTGATGGGACTAACGGCTCTTTTCAGTGAGTCGGATCATTTAGCTCAGCAATAAGAACCGACTCTCTCGACTCCGAAATCATTAATCGTGTAAAACAGCAAAGTGGCCTTTTTAAAGGAGTTACAGAAAACGTTATATGATCAAGCTTCATATCCGGAATGAAGAATTAGAAGATTAAATAACTCTTATATTCCGATTCACTTAAAGGATTCGGTTCGTTCAGCAGACTCGGACACGGGCGACACATCAGCGGTGTCGTCTCCTCGTAGATTCCTGAAGATCTTACTCAGGGTTTGTGCTTTATTCTTCTGCTGCAAATATCCGAATTCAATACAAGTAATGACATGATGGTGTGACTGATGTTTTAAACTATGAATAGCGGCCGTTTCTCGACATTTTAACCGGATTTTAAGCGCCAAACTCCCGGTGATTAAACGGACTGCTGTTAGCTTGGCGACGCTCGACCGTTAGCCTGATTGACGGAGGTTAGCCGTCTTCTGTCGCTCTCCGAGGTCCTGAAAACACGAGCTGTGACTCCCTACAGACAGGATACTAACAAACACGTCGACCTACCGTTACTACCGCTCACACTTACTATGAAGGTGTCATTAAAATGAGGTTTTAGCTTGTATTTCTTATCACACAGACCCCAGAAGGTTGACAGCTAACTAGCTTGTAGCTTAGCTTAGCTCGCATGCTAATCCAGAAGATGTGTTTGTCGCAGTGATTCTGACAAAGTGACAGCCAGGCTCACCCAGCAGCAGGTGCAGACACACCTTCAGTGCTGCTGTGCAGTCATGTTTATGTCATCATCATCAGCTGTTACTGTTTACTGTCTCCTCCCTGCAGCTGGTCCGGTTCCTGACATCCTGAGACAAACCAGAGCAGTCAGGAGGAAGAGACACCAGCAGGATGAACTCTCACTGAGCCAGCAGCTTCACTGAGCCAGCAGCTTCACTGAGCCAGCAGCTGCACCCTAACCACCTGAAAACACCTCTTTGACAGCACAGACAGACTCCAAACAGGTACGAGCTGTTTGTGTATGAGCATGATGAAAGCTTGTATTTGTCTGGTAATCTGGGAGCATGCAGCCTCATTAATATTTACTTTCCTGTATCAGATTGCGGTGGTTTGAGACACCACCTCCTCCTACCCAGACACCATGACGTCCTCTATGCTCCGCCGGCAGCTGAAGAACCTGGTCCAGAACTACTCTGAGGCCGAGGTCAAGGTAAGAGAAATAGATATCAATCAACTTTAATTCCCACTATTAATATTATTTAACCTGCATTTGACCTGTAGCAGAATGTAACATGTATTTTAATACATTTAAAGGAGCAGTATGTAACTCTGACCCCTAGTGTTTAAAATGGGTACTGCAGTCTAAATTCTAAACATCATAGAGAGCTGTCTCCCCCCCCTCCTCTCTAGAGTGGATGTTCACTCAGGTCACCATGTGGTGGACTCTGAAGCTTCAGTGTTTATCCAGCTCTGCATCGGTCTGTAAACCTTTCTGTGTTCTAACCTCTCTCCATTTTTCAAAAGCATCTCCAATATTGATCCTAGTTTGAGCACGTTTCTGCTCGTGGAGCTTATTAGAAACATGCAGAGGCTTTTTAGGTCGGGTACAATCACTTCTATCTGAACCACTTCTCTTGACCGCTTCCATCATTGCAACACCTGTTGACCTGATAACTGGTTTGTGGAGTGAAGTAAACTCGCTGCTTACTTAAAATAACTTCTCTTCACTCGTGTCTAAGAGCAAGTGTTCTCTGCTGGGAAACGCTAACAGCAGGTCAGACCCCCTATGCACATACTGCCACGTATAAATCATTGCTGAATGGGCCACAGGCCAGGTAGAGTTGTCATAGACGTTTACCTATTTATTAGTGCTGACATGTAAAGAAATAACACAGGAATATCACTGGAATGAACAAATCTGAAGCAAAGCCGTGTTGGATTTGATTGCAGTATTTGGTGGTGCTCCTGAGGACGCCACTTGACACACTGACACGTCTTGCTTTGTGTCTTCTCAGGTGAGGGAGGCGACATCTAACGACCCATGGGGTCCATCGAGCTCTCAGATGGCCGACCTCTCGGATCTGACCTACAATGTGGTGGCCTGCAACGAGATCATGACGATGCTTTGGAAACGGCTGAAAGATGACAAAAACTGGAGACACATTCACAAGGTAACGAAAACAACACAGCAACTCACCGTACTCTGTCTGACTGTAAATTAAACAACAATCTGAGGGTCATTATCATGGGTCACCACATTTATTGCTTTGATCCCTCAAATGTAATTATCAAACACTTGTGGAAAAGATTTATAATGAAGACAAGATGGTCACTCAGCTGGAAAGTAGCAATAGCAGAGTGATGATGTTTGTTGTTATCCATATAACGCCCTCTGCTGGAGAATATATCGAGTAATATAGCCGCATATCGGAGATAAAATAAGCCGATCTCTGATTAATCGGTCAGGCTCTAATTTTTTCATTGTCATGCTTTTTTCACACCAGTCCCTGACTCTGCTGGAGTACCTGTTAAAGACCGGCGACGATCGTGTGCTTCTGAAAATGAAAGACAACATCTACATCGTCAAAGCCCTCACAGAGTACCGCTTTGTGGAAAAGGACGGCAAAGATCAGGTGATGCATACTTCCTGTTAGTTTCCACAGCATGCAACCTTTTAGTATCCATTAGAAGTTTGCATCTCATGCATTAAGGTTATCCATTAAAGGCCATCTAACATCAGTATTATTATACTTAATGTAATCTCCGGGCTAATGTTAACAACTCAGGAATTAAAATGGTTTCACTGTAAAATGTCTGTGTAGGTTCTCAGTCATCCAGGCAAAGGTAAATTAGAAGCTTGATCCAAAGGCTGAAGAGCTTAAAAACCTTCAACCAGTCCAGTTGCCTTTGGATCAAGCTTCAGATTTTTCAGAAGTTTGCTGACGGCCCTGTGTGTGCGGGTCAGACCACCACAGCAGCCACAATCTACACATCTGTCAGACCACCACAGCAGCCACAATCTACACATCTGTCAGACCACCACAGCAGCCACAATCTACACATCTGTCAGACCACCACAGCAGCCACAATCTACACATCTGTCAGACCACCACAGCAGCTATAATCTACACATCTGTCAGACCACCACAGCAGCCACAATCTACACATCTGTCAGACAACCACAGCAGCTACAATCTACACATCTGTCAGACCACCACAGCTACAATCTACACATCTGTCAGACCACCACAGTTACAATCTACACATCTGTCTGACCACCACAGCAGCCACAATCTACACATCTGTCTGACCACCACAGCAGCCACAATCTACACATCTGTCTGACCACCACAGCAGCCACAATCTACACATCTGTCTGACCACCACAGCAGCCACAATCTACACATCTGTCAGACCACCACAGCAGCTACAATCTACACATCTGTCAGACCACCACAGCAGCCACAATCTACACATCTGTCAGACCACCACAGCAGCCACAATCTACACATCTGTCAGACCACCACAGCAGCTATAATCTACACATCTGTCAGACCACCACAGCAGCCACAATCTACACATCTGTCAGACAACCACAGCAGCTACAATCTACACATCTGTCTGACCACCACAGCAGCCACAATCTACACATCTGTCAGACCACCACAGCAACCACAATCTACACATCTGTCAGACCACTACAAACAAACACAAGACACAAGGAGAAGTTTTTAACGCTTCACAGAACTTCATGCTAGACTCAAAAGCGATCAAGTCATTAAGTCTTCATTGAAATTTATATTTGGCCATTTTCCACTTGAAGTTCCCCTCAGGATTATCTTATCTTTGTGAGACCTGTAGCAGGACTTTTTTTTTTAATTCTCAAGGCCAAATCAAAATCTAACGTTAGCATTTCTGTCATAGGGGACAAATGTGAGAGAGAAGGCCAAGGTTGTCCTGGTTCTCATGGAGGACGATGACAAACTAAAGGAGGAGAGAGACTTTGCCGTCAAGACCAGAGAGAAGACATCCAAAGGTTCCGGTGGTGAGCCCCCCCCCCCTCCGTCCTGAAGTCTTGATGCTAAACAGCCAATGTTTACGTTTACAATATCTTAATTTAAATTCTCCTTTTTAAATAGCCTCGTCCACCGATGCCGTCAAGGATCCCACCTACAAGCCATGCTATGTTGCCGGGACGTCAGGGCTTCCATCGTTAGACAACATACCGTCTGTGGCCGACTTGACTGCTTCTTTTGCTGCCCGCAAAGAAGAGCGCCTCAAACAGGAAGCAGAGAAGAAGGACGCAGAGAGAAGGGTAAATATTGACAACTGAATGTGTTGTTGGGATCATCAGCATACAAATGAAGGTTCTGGGACTGCATTTATGGACAAGGCTGAACTCTGTCCTCTTGGAGGTATCCAGGGTCAGATTAGCAAGGCAGAATTCTACAATTCATTTATCAGACGCTCTTATCCAATGCGACGTCCATCAGAGAGTAAGAACAACACAAGCAAGGATCTAGCAAAAGAGAAAACGATATCAAGAAGTGAAAACAAACAGATTATAGTCTGATCAGACACACAGGTGCTGACAGGAAGTGACCAGAGGTGCTGACAGGAAGTGACCGCAGAGGCAAAGCACAACACTTCTTGAGAGTTCTAGTCAGTATAGAAACCTTCTTAAAATAGTCATTATCAAACGAACAATCGTCATCATCATCATCATTAAGTTAGTAGGTATTCATGAAAGAGCTGGATGTGTAGACCTGGATGAGAGAGTTAAAGTAAGGAGGAGACGTTTTTGTCGGTGTTTAGTAAGCGAGCAGTAGAGTTTTAAATTTGATGCGAGCAGTAACTGGGAGCCAGTGGAAGGAGATGAACAGTGGAGTGATGTGCTCTTTTAGGAAGGTTGAAGACCAGTCGTGCTGCTGAGTTTTGTATTATCTGCAGGGGTTTGATGGTGCATGTAGGAAGACCTGCCTGTCTTCTTAATCAAATGCTAATTACAGGTTCTGTAAACGGGGGGTATGAATTAGACCACTCATAAAGCAACAAGTCTGTTTAGTTTTCTAATTTCACATTTTTCATACTTAAGGCCAAGTTGAGTGAAGACGAGCTGAAATGGGAGGACGCAGCCAAAGCCGATGGAGCTAAAGGAGCTGCCTGGGGAGGAGAGAAAGCAGAGGAGGAGGAGGAGGTTAAACAAGACGCATGGGGAGCCCCCAAAGAACCTAAAGAGGCTACAGATCCATGGGGCACGCCCGCAAAACCTGACACAACTGACACACCTGCAAGCAGTGATGCCTGGGGGGCTCCAGCCAAAACAGAAGAAGATCCATTTGCAGCCCCAAAAACTGAGGAAGATCCATTTGCTAAGCCAAAGAATGGAGAAGATCCATTTGCAGCACCAAAGGACGAACCTGATCCGTTCAGCGCATCAATAGACGACCCTTTCAATGCTCCAAAAGATAGTTCAGACCCCTTTGGTGCACCCAAAGAAGATCCATTCACTGCTCCAAAAGATAAACCAGATCCTTTCAGTTCCTCTAATAATGATCCGTTCAACGCTCCAAAAGATGATCCGTTCAACGCTCCAAAAGATGATCCGTTCAACGCTCCAAAAGATGATCCGTTCAACGCCACAAAAGATGATCCGTTCAACGCCACAAAAGATGACCCGTTCAACGCTCCAAAAGATGATCCGTTCAACGCCTCAAAAGATGATCCGTTCAACGCTCCAAAAGATGACCCGTTCAACGCCTCAAAAGATGACCCGTTCAACGCTCTAAAGGATGATCCATTCAAATCCAAAGATGATCCATTCAACGCTTCAAAGGATGACCCTTTCAATGCCCCTAAAGGTGATCCATTTTGTGCCCCTAAAGATGATCCTTTCTCTGCACCAAGTAAGCCCTCCCAAGACGACCCCTTTACTGCAACAACACCGCCCAAAGATGATCCCTTTGGAGCACCTATCACACCACCTAAAGCTGATCCATTCTCTGCACCATCCCCACCGGCAAACAACGACCCTTTTGCTGCAGTAACGCCCCCTAAAGAGGATCCTTTCTCCGCACCCACCAAACAAACAACAGAGGATCCTTTCCTTTCTCCAACAACACCGCCCAAGGGTGATCCCTTTGGAGCACCTAGCACACCACCTAAAGAGGATCCATTCTCTGCACCGTCCCCTCCTGCAAAAGACGACCCTTTCACTGCACCAACAACACCACCGAAGGAAGATCCTTTTTCCGCACCCACCAAACAAACAAAAGAGGATCCTTTCGCTTCTCCAACAACCCCACTAAAAGAGGATCCTTTCTCTGCATCGTCCAAACCTCCTACAGACGACCCTTTTGGTGCACCAACAGCACCGTCTAAAGAGGACCCGTTTGCATCGCCAACCAGCCCACCAAAAGATGGTGCCTCAGATCCCTTCAACGCCCCTCTGCTGAGCTCACCCCAAGGCGGTGCAGACGCATGGGGAGCCCCGACTAGCCCTCCAGCTGACAGCAGTTCCGATCTTTGGGGGGCACCATCTGCTCCAAATGAAGCCAAGGGTGGAGATCCCTGGGGAGATGGGACAAGCGCCGCCTCACCTGGTGACCATTCGGATGCATTTGGGGATGCGTCCAAACCGGACAATGATCCCTGGGGATCGACAGGTAAGAAACAACACAGATCAATGTTTTAAGATTTCATGTAAAATGTGGGAACACATTTTATCCGACGACACTCTAAAATGTTAAAGAAGAGGATTTCATGATGTACTATATTATCATTTAACTCAGAATTCCCAAAGGCAAAAAACATTAGTGCACATGGCGATGGCTAACCTGCACAATTGTGAAGGGAAGGAACCATTAACACTGAACCATAAATACAAGTGTAAGAGCCACAACTCTTTCTGCCTGCTCTGTTCCCATTTAGCAACAGCTCCAGTTAGCGCGGACGATGCGTGGGGTGCACCTGCCCCACCCTCAGACTCGTCCCCATCTAGCGACCCCTTTGGAGACGGGGCATCTAAAAAAGCGGATCCATGGGGAGCACCGAGCAATGCGCCTAGCAATGGAACAGGTAGACTACTCTTAACATTTGATCTGAATGCACACATTCCTCTCATCCATCCATTATTCCTCACACTTCTCTTTCTCCTGAGGGATCAAACGCTTGATAACAACACTCTTTGTTAACATTATTATATTTAACATATTGTCTAAGCTAACAACAACGACCCTGAGAATGTCTCTGAACGTCTTCCTCTGTTTTACTATATTAATATAAGCTTCTACATGTGACTGCTATCTTCCATTTCACCTCCATCCTCCCTTCACTTTGCAGTTGGCTAACAATCTTAATCGACTAAACCTCTCTTCCGCTTTGCTCTCCCTTTCCTCCCTGACCTGTCCCCCCCTAAAAGAAAACTCCTTTTAGAGTAGAATTGGACCTTTATGTTATTGCAGGAACTCGAGCGGCGCAGGAAAAGGAGTTCCACAGAAAGACTGCTTCATTTCTGGGCACTGCCGGGGCGTCGCTCGTCGACTTGGACGATCTATTTTCCTCTAACCCCAAACCCCAACAGCAACCCCCCGTTAACGTGCTCGCCACACAGACACACGCCATCGGTAAGGACGGACAGATTGCTTTGTTCTGGGTGAAGGATACCGTGTTTGAACGAAGGCGTTTGTGGGGCACTTGATTCGAATGGATGCATGATCAACCTCAAAGACTGGACAATCACTGAGTTGAAAAAAAAATCTGCAATTTCCTGGTTATGTTTCAAATGCATCCGACGTCGAGCTGAAGTCTTTGGAGCACAAAGAGCGAGAGAGAGAGAGAGATATTAATCAGTATGTTTGTTTGGAAAACTTTATTGTGATTCTGTGTTTAGCCAAACCGACCCTCCTCCGCTGTGGTCTCACTGTAGTGTATAGATGTGTGTGTGTGTGTGTGTGTGTGTGTGTGAGCATTAGTGCAGTTTAGTAAAGTGTGTATTAACCATCAGCAGATATTTAACCCTTCTCACCCCTCTCTCTGCTTTGGTGCATTTTCTCTCTGCTGGAATGCTTCAAACTGTAAATCCCGCCTCCTCCCCCCTCGTCCCTCCCTCCTCCTGATTTCCCAGGCGCTTTCAAAGCCCGGGCCATGACACCCAGGCCTGTGGTCGGATCAGGTTCTGCTGCTGCTGCAGGGATGTCCTTTCACCAAACTTCAACCCCATACTGCCTTCCATTTGGTTCCACTTTTGCAGCAGCTTCTCCTTCCAATGAAAATCCACTATTTCAGCCGCCGTCCCAAACCACGAGAAGGTCTTATTCAGGCTTCAGTACGCCTCAGCCGGGTCAGCTGACTCCGACGTACTCAGGAACTGGAGTGGTACAGTCCGCTTCAGTGGGAGGGAATCCATCAATTGGACTAAACATGAACCAAGACCGCAGGGGGGTGGGGATGATGACACAGGCCGGACCTCTGGTTGGGACTCCCTTGTCCGACCCTCTCTTTTGGGGAAAAGGAACGGATCAGTCCGCTGTCTTTGGAGGGAATTGGCCAGCAGGAGCTCAGTTTGGAGGATCCACTCCACACGAAGGGGGCGGAGTCTCATTACAGCAGCAGTGGATCCCGGGGAGCGGGTCGGGCGAGGTGGCCAACCAAAACAATAATCCATTCCTGATCTGACCCATCATGCGATATCCTTTAGACTACACCTCATTGTTACACACGTTTAGTCTTTGTGTCCCTCACAGTCAGCGTTTGGTTTTCTTTGTTCATGTTTATAAAGAAACTCAACTGTTTAACACCTCTCAGCAACACAGCGATGGAAGTGCACAGACAAAACAAGACCCCAAATATTGATATTTGACCAGATCTTGATTTAAAAGCTTCTCACAAATATTAGAAAACCTTGAATGCATCATTACAAGACTGACCATTGGCCGGGCTCAGTCCAAAATCCTTACTCATTTTGAAAGCTACGAGGGGGGGGGAGAGAAATTGCATTAATTAGTTGGCGATGTTTCGTTGCCATGGTAATAGGGCGCCTAGGATGTCTCTTTTTGTTGCTGTGGTATAAAAACGTTGTTTGACTTTTACTTGGATCGTAATGAAGTTTGTAAAATCTGTTATCGTGGCAACAAGACCGCTCGGCTTCTATATGGAATCTTCTCCCTCTGTTCTTTATTATAGTCATCACCCAGGTTGAAATCTTTAACACCAAATGTTTTGTGATTATTATTAAAGACTGGAGATGCAGACAACCCAAATTTACACATAAATCTGAGCCACTCATTGAGGTCGCTCAAGCTCCCAGAACAGATTCCTCCTCTGACGCTCAGACGCTGCTCGTACTCTGAGCCTCAGAGTCTTCACTGGACTCGACTTGTAATGATGTTATCACATTGGTGGACTGAAATCACTGAGAGGCTGAAAGGTGGCAAACATTCAAACCTTAATGTTTTTCCTTTTTGTAAACGCTTCTCACATGTTAACATGAAAAACCTTCAAACAAATCCATCAGCTCCTCTCACTGCAAAAACCCAAACCTTAGCGAGGGATTAGTCTAACTTATCATAAATATCTTATCGTTTACATCTACACTCACCACAGCACACTGAAAAGTTAAAGGAAGAATGTGCGACTTTTTGATCCAGTAGATGGTGCCGTTGAGCACCAGCATGAAACCAAAACAAACTTCTGTTAGACCACGCCTCCTTTATACTGAAGCCTCCGCCCTCTTACAGAGACACACCTCCAACCCCTCTGTACTTAAATTTACACTAAGAAGTTTAGCACAAGCGGTGGACAAAATAGCCCTTTACTCGAGCTGCAATTACCTGTGTCCTGCATTGTTGTGTTAGCATGCTAATGTTAGCGCTCTGTAGTTAGCTCGTAGCTTCACATTGTTGTGTTAGCATGCTAATGTTAGCACTCTTTAGTTAGCTCGTAGCTTCACATTGTTGTGTTAGCATGCTAATGTTAGCGCTCTTTAGTTAGCTCGTAGCTTCACATTTCATGTAAACTGACACAGAATGAGCGTGATCTAAAAACTCTTACTAACATCCAAATAATCAGTGAGTATGTTCTTCTTCTTCTCTCTAGTTCTTGACTAAAACAGCTTTTATACACAAGGGGAGGAGCCGGCCGTCCCGTCCATGTAAACACGGCTCTGACAACAACACAGCCAGCGGGACTCGAGCTTCTCCCTCATTGTAGACAGTCAGGACTCAGAGACACATTTACACAGGACAGACTTTATGATTTATTGATGTGGAACATGTCGTGCATTCTTCCTTTAAACTTCTACTTTTCTTTATTGCCGCAGACGTCTTCAGTGATTTCGGGTAAACAAACTCAGACTCAGAGAAAAGGGGAAGTTTGAGATATTTTGATGTGCTGTCCTGAAATACAGTCGGTGCATTTCTTGGTTGAGGATTCAGCACCCACGAGGGCGAGCGGGTTATTCTGGATTTACTTTCTGCACTCCTTACAGAAGAGGAGGGATTCACATGAATGAAATGTGTTTGATTGGATCTGACAGTCTGACGGTTCATCAGTGTGTCTGTGTTTGAAGAGTTTCTGTGAATCTGAGTGTTATCTGATTCTGTGACTGGACCTGTGAACGTTAACACGGTGACGTGTGTGCGTTTTCATTCGGCGTGCATGTGTTTGTACGAGCAGGAGTGTGTGTGTGTGTGTGTAGTATATATATATATATATTGTGCTGATGTAAATAGTGGACGTATTCACAGATTAACCTTGAAATATTCTGTATATTAGAGTCTTACAATCATGAGTAACTTTTGATCTATTTATTGATTGATTATTTATTGATGCAACAATGCAGCAGCAGCGAGCCTCCAACCAAGACGGGTTAGAGCAGAGAGTCGTCACCTGGTGGCTCTGCCCTCAGACATGTCATCTGTGATTTGTGCTCTGTTTAAAACAAACTGCATTTTAAATCAACTTAGTAACCGATCGTGGCTTTTTTTTGTTTGGTTCATCGTTCGGATAGATCGGTGATTGATTGATCACGTCTGTCCTGGATCTCCTCACGTGGCTGTGTGATGAGCTGCTGCTGCAACGACAAAATAAAAGAGGTTGAACATATCGTTTCTCCGACGTGCATGCTCCGAGCGGATCCTCCTCTCTGTAGAAGTTAACGTTGAGTTGATCTTCCAGCTCCTGCGTCTAAATGAAATGTATCACGCACACGCCTCCATAGAGCTTCGACCTTTTCATTCAGACATCACTGACAGTCGAGGGATTCATCTCGTTCTTTGTGTTTCAGTCTGTTCTCGTCTTTTTGTTTGTTTGTTTTTTTTTTCATTTGTTTGAAGGTGAACTTAAAGCCGGTTTAGCTTCAGGCAGTTTGGAGATCGAGTCCAGGACTCGTATGATGAACCTGTAATTTGACATTCATTGGTTTTGCTGTATCCAGATCTAACGCTGTGTTGTAAACTGTGACGGTACATTTGAGAAATAAAACGATATAACAGAGTTTATTCTGACTGTTGTTACTGTGTGAGAGTTCAGCGCTGTGCCCTTTTGTTCTGCATATTTTTTAAACCATCATTTCTTGGTGTATTTGTTGAGTTTTCAGACACCTGATTATCAACGTGTCATCAAAGACCCGGCAGCAGGCTGCAAGATCGGCCGGTGTGTCACAGCGTCTCATCTCTGAACTGTGCAAAAAAAAAACAACCTCTCAGTGTTCTTCTCTGTGATTTTACAGAAACTCCATCAGGAGGAAACAGACGGTAAGTGAGTTTAAATATCGAGGTGTCGTCTTTGATTACCAATTCAAATTAGAAGCACAAACTTGCTGCGACCCCAAAGAGGAAAAGCAGTCTAGATGATGGATGGATTGATAGATATATTAATTATGTGTGTTGTTTCCTAAAAGCCTAACGAGGGACAAAGATTGCACATTAATCATGGCTACACGTCCTCTGTGTCAGTGGCTGCATGTTTTATCCCTGACAAATAAATAACTATCAAGAAGCTACCTGATGTCGCCACCAGAGGGGGATATAGATACAAACATCACATTATCCAGTCGCTCCACACATGCATCACTACATTAAACATAAATAAATATTAATTCTAAAACACAGTCTCCTACTTATTGAGAGCAAATTAATGAGGACAGATAAACATTTAAAAGACAAACACGTGTTTCCATGTTTATGTGGAAAGAGCAGCAGACGTCCACATTGTTGCTGCAAGGTGGACATTAAGAGTCACTCTGTCAGATACCCGGAGCACCTTTAACCACATTTAGTAAATAAAGTCACAATCTCACCGCGCTGCACTGAAATGACTCGGACCAGGAGAAAGTTTGGAAGTAACCTAGCAACAGTTGCTATGAGAGGTAGCTCACCAATCAGAGAGGTAACAAGGGGTCATCAATCCATCCATTATCTATACCACTTTTCCCATGCGGGGTCACTGGGGCCACCATGCAGCCCTCAAGAAGGGGCCAATGATGATTAATTATTATATATTTAAAAGCTTCTCATTCACTGTAGTGCACATGGAATGAGTAAGGATTTATAATCAGTAGGAGACATCCCATAATATGATGTGAAATCTTTGTGCACTGATGATGGTTTTACAACCAGAGAGGGAGAGAGACGGCTTTTAAGAGTTTCTAACCAACTCCAGCTGTCTGTTAAAATTCATTCAAGAGAGTATTTAAAGCGACGACGGGATCCTTATCTGAACCTCATGTTTTTACACTTTATCTCCTTTTTTCATTCATGTGTGTAACGAGTTGAGGAGTGAGTCTCTGTTGGAAGCTGTCAGAACTGTTGGATTGACTCAAGAGCTCCCTCATTCATGCAGACAGAGCTTAGAGTCTAAAAACAGAGGTGTGGGGACATTGAGGATTTGACTTCCAGCGTGTGTTACATTAGGAGATCAAAGTCAGATTAGTCCTCGTGTTGCCTTTTGTTTTTTTACTAACAGATGACAGATTAGATGATGTGAACTGAACACGTCTCATTTACTTAAAAGTCTTTGAAGGTGTACACTTCTTTGACTAAACCTGTCGTAGGGCATTGGAGCTGCAGAGCTGCCCTGGGTGGGTGGGCACACTGTGTGGCTAAATGAAAAGGCTGCACTGGTGTGATGCAGGTTGAATGAAGTTGGGGGGAAAAGTGTCAGGCTGGTTTGAAGAGTTGGGCAGAACAGAGTACAGTGAAAGTCTTTTGCCACTTGGATGGGGAGCGGGCCGTCCCCACCAACGATTGAGAGGAACGTTCGAGAGCTAAAGAGCTCCCAGGAAGAGAAGATGTTAGTAACTTACATAGTACGTGAAGTTTTACAGATAGTGACATGCAGTAATATGATGTGAATGCACAGAGAGAGAGAGGAGCTTAAGGTGCCAGTTCCCCCCGGTAGTCTAAGTCTATAGCAGGTCTGGTAACTGAAGGCTCTACCTCCCATAGTACATTTAGAGACCGTAGGTACCACGAGCAGGCCTGATAACTGAAGGCTCTACCTCCCATAGTACATTTAGAGATCGTACCACGAGCAGGCCTGATAACTGAAGGCTCTACCTCTCACAGTACATTTAGAGATCGTACCACGAGCAGGCCTGGTAACTGAAGGCTCTACCTCCCATAGTACATTTAGAGACTGTAGGTACCACGAGCAGGTCTGGTAACTGAAGGCTCTACCTCCCGTAGTACATTTAGAGACCGTACCACGAGCAGGCCTGATAACTGAAGGCTCTACCTCCCGTAGTACATTTAGAGACCGTACCACGAGCAGGCCTGGTAACTGAAGGCTCTACCTCCCATAGTACATTTAGAGACTGTAGGTACCACGAGCAGGTCTGGTAACTGAAGGCTCTACCTCCCATAGTACATTTAGAGACTGTAGGTACCACGAGCAGGTCTGGTGACTGAAGGCTCTACCTCCCATAATACATTTAGAGACTGCACCATGAGCAGGCCTGATAACTGAAGGCTCTACCTCCCATAGTACATTTAGAGACTGCACCACGAGCAGGCCTGATAACTGAAGGCTCTACCTCCCATAGTACATTTAGAGACTGTACCACGAGCAGGCCTGATAACTGAAGGCTCTACCTCCCATGAATGAATGTGTTTTTCTTTACACACAGAGATCTCCCGGATGGAGGAGGCAGAGCAGCGTTTGTTCTTTCAAAGCTGCAAATTGATGTGTTTTAGGACGTCTTGCGTGGTGGTAAGTAAAGAATCCTATACTTCTTCCAACACTGTTAAAAGTCGGGGAAAGATAGAAAGCTGTCCCAAGCTTTCCAATCCGAGATCCAAGCCGATAGCTTTCCAGTCATTGATGGGATTTCCTAAAGCCAGCAGCTGTATAGATAATGTACAGCTGTACTGGGATGTGTTAAGAAGGGCTCGAAAGCAGCAGTTTAAAGAAGAGCAGGGACAATGAGACTCCCGTTTCAATCTGAGCCGCTTCATACCATCCTGTTTAAGTAATCACTATAGGTCCGGAGGTCAGGAGGGTTACTGGAGCGGAGGAGAGATGAAGGAAACGGAGAGAGAGAGCTGTTGGAACGGGTGAACTGACACGGTATAGGGAGCAAAGGGGAGGGAAAGTAACAGATGGACTTGTGGGGATTAGAGGGAAATCTGGGTGGGTTTCTGCTGGAAGCTCACCCAAGACGGAGGAGGGAGCGCTGAGGGAGCGCAGTGGGGAGGTGAAGAAATCTGCAGCCCTGCTCGAGGAGAGCTGAAGGAAACACCAAGGAGGAGGGTCTCTCCGCCTGGGGTCTCAAACGTGGTGAGTGGAACCGCTTTTGAATTTCTTTTTTAGGATGGAGGGTAAGCTCATCAAAAGTGGAGCGTGAGCAGCAGCTGGACTTTTTTTTAATCACAAGGGAAAAGATTTGAGCTTAACATGATGAGATGATACGGACGGGATCCGACACATTGACAGAAACAAACTGCAGGTTGTACTTTTTACAGCTTTAACTCCTGAAAAACAAACGTTTACCTGCAGTTAAGATAACCTCTTCTAAACTCTGATCTACACACACATGACCCAGCTCACCAGAGAGCCAACTCTATGTGTCAAGAAAAACAACTGATTAAACAAACCTTCTCTGAGTGATCAAACTTTTTTTAAACTCAGAAAACTCGACTGAAACCTCCAGTTTCCTCTCTGAGGGTAACATCTGGTCAGACTTGCAGCACTTTACTCGTTTATTTGCGATATGCATTCAAGAACTCATCGTTCATCAGGTGCACCTGGAGGCTCCAGACGTTGTAAATATAGCAAATAAATATATTTGGGAGCTGCGAGTCTTTGTGCAGCATATCCAGTGTTTTCTTACGACCTGAAGAAGTGATGAGCAGGTGTTTGATGACTTTCCTGCAGTTATAGCTTTGAAAATAATCCTGCACACTTCTCCTGCTCCGCTTCACCGATCTATGAAAAAAAATCACGTCTTGGTCCCTCTGAACTTCACTTGGGACTGAAACGTTGTGATGACGAGCAGGAGCATTGTGATAGTTTTAGGAGAGAGTCTGATGTGCGAACACCTCCTTTAAAACGTTCTCTGCAATTAAAGCACAATACCTTCATGTTACAAAAAGTCGGCGGACTTCAATACAAAGAAAACTTTCCTCCTCCTGACAGTTTTTTAAAACTTGAACTGGACACAGATCGACATGTGTGAGGGTTGAACGTTTGATATGATTTAAACTTTATGTGTTCAGAGTTCTTTCTATCAGAAAAAGAAAACAGTTCAACAACAAACAAAGAAGAAGATAAACTTCATTAATCCCTGAGGATAAATTCAGTTTTCTCTGTTATGGGACATGCACACACACACACACACACACACACACACACACACACACACACACACACACACACACACACACACACACACACACACCACACAATCTCACAATGTAGAGAAGTCAGGGTCTCTGACATTTCTGCACATGAAAAAGCATCGGAGCTGTTGGGGGTTCTGTGCCTTGCTGCAGGACGCCTCGGCAGTAATCAGGAAGTGAACTGGCACCTCTCCAGCTACCGGACATATTTCCAAACTTTAGACCGTGCTCTGACTTGAACCGGTCCATCATGGCTGATCTGTGGGGGCCTGAAGGGGGCCATGTGGTTGGGTAGTTAGCATCAGCGCAGTCGCTACCTGGAGATGTTTTGGTTGCTGTGGCGACTGAGGGCCAATAGGGGGGGTTGGTTCTGTAACGTATCAGTCGAGGGGCGCTCTTTACTGAACCATCATCCTTTCTTTAGGGAACAAGTACCTCCAGTTTATCTCAAATTTAAATAAAACATGAACTATGTTGAAGGTTGGACTGCCAGCTGACGGAGGTGAATGTGTTCAGAGGTCACTGCAGAAACAGCTTTAACCAATCAGAGCCTCTCACCACAGGAAGTGAAGGATCTGTTAACCTGACTCCATCCACTGGAGGAGGCAGGGACAGGTGTGGAGACATGAAGGTCAAAAAGGACAATATCATTGATTGATTAAATGTTCACACCATGAAATGATTGGATGGACCAAATTAATCTGAGACGCCCGGTTGATCTGGAATGATTTGATTAAAGCGATGGTTCATCAGCGACAGGCTCACCTGTGAAATCGCTTTAATCTCATCAACACTTTGGTGAATCATTGTTCAGACGTGGAGAGTGTTTCACTGGAGATCCCAGAGCTCCTAAAGATCATCATGAACAGAAACCATTCACACACACCGACACGAGAGCAGAGAAACAGATCGAGCTCGTACTTCTTTGTGCAACACGAGGAAGAATTCAGACGACCAGCAACTATGTAAATGTCACCTAAAAAAAGATCTTTGAGTTATTCTATTGAATAATTATCAGGAATTTAACCATTTAAATGCCAGAATCATGTAACTAAACTGGCCTTTAAAGGGTCAAATTCCTGATAATGACTCAATATTTGATAGTTTTGAGCAGGGCTGGAGTTGTTTAAGAGATTTATGCAAAAAAAGTAGAAAAAAAGAGGGTAGTAAATTAAACTGATGCCTGAGGGTTAAAAACACAAAGTATAGAACTCAGCGAGGAGACTGACAGTTCCACTCCGGAGTCCAGCAGGAATGAACAAGTGATTACACTTTCCTTACATTTCTTAACCCAGATGTTTGCCTCAATCTCCTCTCTTTACTTTCAGGTGGTCGTCCAGACAAAGACATCATGAGAGTCATTCTGCATTAATCTCATCCTCCGCACCCTGCAAGATTAACACAGATTACTCAACCCGGAGGTAGGGCTGAGACACCGGACTAATCACTCCTTCCCGGGCTCAATCCTCCCCCCCTGCCCCCCCTCCCTGAGAAGTGGAGGAGGAACAGGTTGAAGAGCGGGACGTGCCCTGAGAGCAGGACTGATTAGTTTCAAAATCCGCAGGATAAGATTTAGACGCTGATCTTCATCTGAGAGCAAAGAGGTCAGAGACACAGAGGCATGATAGCGGCAGAGACATGGGGTAAGGAGGGCGCTCGGTGAGGAGACATGTGTGGAGTCAAACATCTCGCCTGGCTCGTGCCCTAACATCAAGAAGAGAGAGGGAGGTCCGGATGATTTTTGACTGACTGAATCTGGAGCTGGAGGAGCGCTGGAGTTCCCTCCTCCAACCTCTGGCCTTCACATCTGTTTCTTTCACAGTCGCAGTGATTAAATCCAAGCACTTCATCTTTCTCCACCCCACTGTCCTCTGACCCCCACTCATCCACTGCCCTCCTTCCTCGATGCCAGCCCGGCCTCCATCTTTGCACCCGCCCTCTTTTCAGATTGCCCTCTAACCTTCGTTCCACTTCTCAACATCCCTAATCCACTCTTTTTCTCTTTTTTTCTTCCTCCCGTTCTCAATGAATCTGTTTCAATTGCAACACCAACCTCATCATCAAGTCGCCTCATCCCGACTTGTCAGGCCTCCTCGCTCCTTTGACTGTCACCCTGACTCAGCAGCAGACCCTTCCAGGCACTAGCCGTTCTTTAGAAACCAGAGAGCTGGAACACGCTTTTATTTGGTCAGAACCGTGTTAAACTTTGGAGAAGCAGCCATGCTGGAGAACATGTCCAAACGTAACCGCTCCCTGCTATCACTCTTCCTCACCTCTCTGGCGCTCGCCCTGTCCGTCTTGGCATTCTGCACCTCCTACTGGTGCGTGGGGACACACAAGGTGGTGAAGCCTCTCTGCCTGTCACCGGTGAAGATGAAGAACTGCGGGGAGAACAACAGCCAGCCATACACTACAGGTGAGAATACTGACAGCAGGTGGACAGCTGCAGATGTTTGTTACTAAAACACAAATACACTTAAAATGAAAAAAACAAAACAGGTGATTTTAAAGGAGCAGTATGTAACTCTGCCCCCTAGTGTTTAAAATGAGTACTGCAGTCTAAATTCTAAACATCATAGAGAGCTGTCCCCTCCTCCTCTCTAGAGTGGATGCTCACTCAGGTCACCATGTGGTGGACTCTGAAGCTTCAGTGTTTATCCAGCTCTGCATGGGTCTGTAAACCTTTCTGTGTTCTAACCTCTCTCCATTTTTCAAAAGCATCTCCAATATTGATCCTAGTTTGAGCACGTTTCTGCTCGTGGAGCTTATTAGAAACATGCAGAGGCTTTTTAGGTCGGGTACAATCACTTCTATCTGAACCACTTCTCTTGACCGCTTCCATCGCTGCAACACCTGTTGACCTGATAACTGCTCTCATATCTGACAAACCGAGGGGCGTCCTATGCGTTGATTTGCGTAGAATAGAGCTCTGGTCTATTCCTGTCCGGCGAGTGCCTGACCCTACCCCCAGACCTGAACGTGCAAGACACAGGGGTGCAGCTCGCAGGCTTTTAGGACACGCTGTTACATAACCATGAAATGTAGAAATATCGATGTAAACACTCGAGAGGTGTAAGGCTTTTCTCTCCGAATCAAAGATCATTTTCATTCTTCGAGAACTCTTCCTGATTAAAAAAAACACACATCTGTGTCTCTCTGTCGCCCAGCATAACCTCGACTTAACAGTACGCTGCATGACGTCATGGCGATTATGTTTTGTGTTCCCAAGAGTTAAGAAGAACACCAACACACACACATAAACACACACACACACACACACACACACACACACACACATGAACACGAAGGTTATAGATAGGAAATGTGATCAATCTGAGCTGCATCTGAAACCCAGTGTCTTGCATGGATGAATTTAACCCATTAAAGTCTCCTGTGATGAAATAACAGATTTTTTTTTTCATCACATGAACGAGAGACTTTCAGACCGGCATGATGTTTGCATGTTTCCTCTGAGGTAAACATCTGTCGCCGAACAAACATATTAATGACTGTTTCCAAAAATACCTCTGACTAAATCCAGCGCCAGATTTCATGGTGTCTACAATACTGTTCTTGCATTCCAAAGTTCAAGTATTTCACTCCCAACTTGTCTTGCAGAGATTCACGTAATCCCGGCTTTGTTGCTAATCTCAGAACTTTGCATCTGCAGCTGCATGTTATCTGGATTCTGTGACCCGCGATGTCTCATCTTTCTGCTCTAAGCCTATTTGTTTCTATGTTGTTTTCAATTTTCACTGCATAGAAAATGACAGATTACCTAAAGAACTGTGTGAGGGGCCGGCTCGTGGTTACACGCTTTGTCCCAGGAGATGCACTTCAGGATTTATGTCAGTGGGGTTTTAAATAACAACACAGACTGTTATAGTGAAGACCTCCATACGCCTTTATTATTCTGTTTCCTGTTCATCATTTATCTTCTTCTCTTTCTTCTTCTTTGCTGTCTTTGACTCTCATTTCCTCGTTGTTACCCGTTCTCCTCCCGTGCCCTGTCCTCTTCCCTCTCTCTCTTTGTATTTCATTCTTGACTCAACTTTGTTGCATATCTTTTCTCACTCCAGAGGCCCCCACCCCGGACCCAAGGAACCCGCCCTCCAACGTGACGCTCACCCCGCAGCAGAAGGAGGAGCTGGCACGGATAAAGAAGAAGCAGCTGGCCAACGCCGTTCACTACATCTGGGAGACAGGCGAGGACAAATACATGCTGCGCTACTTCCACACCGGCTTCTGGCTGTCCTGCGAGAAGCACAATGAAGGTTGGGGATGGGAGCAGATGGCGGGAATACACAACCACACTTTCTCTTAGAGGGTCGTTGCTGAAAAATTGATCTCAGCTCATCACTCTGAGATCAAAACTTTAGAGATTCCTTCCAAATCCCACAAAGAGCTGAAATAAAAAAACATTCATGCAGGAAGGAAAATAAGCATTTCACAACATTTCTGCTTACACATAACTTCCTGTATCACTGTGCTCTAGAACAGGGGTAGCCAACCAGTCAGAGACTAAGAGCCACATGTTTTACTGTCTTACTGCAAAGAGCCACATCACACACACAGGCACACATAAACATCGCCCCTTCACCTCTCTGCTGCTCTCTGCCTCACTCTCGTCCTCCTCCACGTTCCTCTCTATTTCTCTCTCAAAATTAAAAAATAACAATAGCCTTGACACTCACAGACACACACCCTCACACAGACACACACACACACCCTCACACAGACACACACACACACCCTCACACAGACACACACATACCTCTGCTCAGCCACATTTACTGTATATGTCACACACCAACATGATATTGACAAAAATGGACTTAAAACTAACTAAGACCACAGGCCGGTCACTGTCAACAAGGAACATTGTGTGCACTGTCTCACACACACACACACACACACACACACACACACCCTCACACAGACATTGTGTGCACTGTCTCACACACACAAACTCTCAGTTCAACCAAGTCCACAAACAGAAATATAACAATTTACAATAATGTCAATAACAAAATGTGTGATTTTTTATCTTACTATGCATGTTGCTTCTTAGTGGGACTTCTGGCATTCCTTGCCTTGAACAATCCTCTTCAAATCTGGCTTGTATTCCGTTGTGGCCACTCGAAGCAATTCTTTCACGTCTGTCAGAACAGATCGATGTTTTGATTTCACGTGTTTCAGGGTAGAAAACACTCTCACACGTATGTTGACCCAAACATTGACAGTAGCTTGAGCGCAGCCCGTTTGACATTGGGGTATTTTTCCATTGGCACACTCTTCCAGAACTCAATGGTCCGTTCCCTTAGAACAGGTTTCAGTTGGTCCTGCTCGCAAAGATCGATCATCTCCAACTCGGCCGCTGCCTCGTCTGTGACGAGCGGTTCTTTCAAACAGTCCATCTCTGCATTAAACGGGTCGACGAGGAACGTAATCTGTGGCCTTTTCAGCTGTAGATCACGGAACCGGGTCACAAAGCTTTCGTGAAGGTTTTCAACCAGTGTTGCATATCTGGCTGTTTGCTTTTTCAGGGCGGCGCTGGTCGCTTGCCCGCTTGCTTTTAGCAGTGCGCGAAAATGCGCTAATTCTCCTTTTTGAATATGTGTCTTGAACAGCTTCAGTTTGTTGACAAATGCAAACACACTTTGCGCCAGGTCAGGCAGCATTTTTAACTTACCCTGCAGATCCAGGTTCAGTCTGTCCAGATGACACAGCATGTCGACCAAAAAGGCCAGATCCATAATCCACTTGGCGTCGGAAAGCTCGGGGTAGTCCTTGTCCTTCTCTTCCATGAATAGTTTCACGGCATCCAAAAGCTCAAAGAAGCGAGAAAGCACCTTGCCTTTAGACAGCCACCTCACAGTGCAGCGGCAGGTCACCTGGAAGCCCTTGGTCCAGTTCGGTGATGAGATTCTTAAATTGCCTGTGGTTCAGTGCGTGTGTGCGGATGTAGTTGATGATTTCCATCACAGGCTTCATGACGTGGTCTAAGTTCAGTGATTTAGACACCAGTTGCTCCCGGTGAATGATGCAGTGGAAATTCCAAAACTTGGGAAATGTGTTGTCAGCTTTGCACAGCCCCACAAGCCCGTTCACAGATCCGATCATAGATGCCGCTCCATCTGTGGCTATTGCAGTTAGCTTCAGTACTGGCAGATTTGCTTTCACAAATGCAGCCATCATTGTTTCTTTCACATCGATGCCACGGGTTCTGTCCTTTAATGGCACAATATCAAGGATTTCTTCTTTTATCACACAATTTTTTGACACAGATCGTGCAAATATTGCCAACTGAGGCTTGTCTTGAATGTCACAAGACTCATCCAATGCGACACTAAAATACTCGCATGTTTGAAGATCAGAGTGCAACTGCGATTCAATTGCGGTGTTAATGTCCGATATTCTGTGTTCAACAGTGTGGCGGGACAGTTGAACGTCTGATATCATTCGTTTTAGTTTGTCGTTTTCTGGAGACAAGATTTCAACGATGTCACTGAGGCATTTTTTAATGAACTCCCCTTCATTGTATGGCTTTTTAGCTCGTGCTGTGTTCCAAGCCAGTTGATACGATGCAAGCGTTACGATCTCTGAGTGCTTCGTAATTTTCTGGAACAACTGTGTCTGCTTTTCTGCCTGATTTTTCAAACTTGTTAACTTGTGCTTGCGAAGCTCAGTACCTTTTGGAAATTCCTGCTCGATGTTAGCATGGAGTGAGCTGAAGTGACGCTGAAGATTTGAAGCCTTGAAATGCGCTAATGACGCCTGGCATATAAGGCAGAGTGGCTTGCCATTACGTTGAACGAAGAAATATAAACTCTCCCACTCTGTTAAAAACGTCCTGTGTTCATCTTCATATTTTCGTTTTGCTGTACATTTTTCCTGCCATTTTCAGAGCGAACTTGGCTTGTTTCACACAAATTGTTTACTCAACAATAAGGCCCTCCCTCCCTCGAAGCTGATTGGTTCGCAGGCATTTTTGTGATTGGCTCGCAGGCTACATCAAAGTTAGACATGTTGTCATGCCCTCATACTGACGGGCAAGGGCAATTTTTAACACAAACACAATGGATGGGCCTAACGTTACAACAACAAAACAGAACACACAAACTTCTATATGAACTGAGGAGCCGCATGAGACTGGGCAAAGAGCCACATGCGGCTCGGGAGCCGCGGGTTGGCCAGGCCTGCTCTAGAAGAACGTCTGCTTCTTAACACTTCCTGTTTCAACAAGTTGGTAAATTATTCCTGTAACGACAAAAACTTCATCCCAACATTTACAAATTCTGTTTAGCTAAACAGCTGTGACTCGAATCGACCCTCATCAAACCTCCTTCAGTCATTTCTGATATGTTTCATATCAAGTGTGCTACATTGCCTACATCCTCACTCAGCATGCACCCTGCACCCTGAACCTTACACCATGCACCCTGCATCCTGAACCCTGCACCCTACACCATGCACCCTGAACTCTGCACCCTGAACCCTACATCCTGCATCCTCAACCCTGCACCCTACACCATGCACCCTGAACTCTGCACCCTACACCATGCATCCTGCACCCTGCATCCTGAACCCTCTACCCTGAACCCTACATCCTACATCCTGCATCCTGAACCCTGCACCCTACACCATGCACCCTGCATCCTGAACCCTGCACCCTACACCATGCACCCTGAACCATACATCCTGCATCCTCAACCCTGCACCCTACACCATGCACCATGAACTCTGCACCCTACATCCTGCATCCTGAACCTTGCACCCTGCACCCTGTATCCTGAACCCTAAACCATGCACCATGCACCCTGAACTCTGCACCCTGAACCCTTTACCCTGAACCCTACACCATGCATCCTACAACCTGCATCCTGAACCCTACACCATGCATCCTGCACCCTGAACCCTCTACCCTGAACCCTACACCATGCATCCTACACCCTGCATCCTGAACCCTACATCGTGCATTCTGCACCCTGCATCCTACATCTTGCATCCTGAACCCTGCACCCTGCACCCTGAATCCTACACCATGCATTCTGCACCCTGCACCCTGCACCCTGCACCCTGCATCCTACATCTTGCATCCTGAACCCTGCACCCTGCACCCTGCACCCTGCACCCTGCATCCTGAACCTTGCACCCTGCATCCTGAACCCTGAAACCCTGCACTCTACACGCTTTGAGACTGCTCTGTTTGTTGGTAAACGGTGACATAATGAAAATCCCAGCTTTTTAAATCAATCCTCCCACACAGCTGCTGAATGCAGCTCTTCTTATTACTTTTCCAGGATTTAAAATGATCAGGGGCACAAGTTCTCAGAAATTGCAACAGATTTATTTATATCACCCTGCTGGAAAAAAAAAGAACAGAGACAGGAATGATGTGCAGAGTTTTTTTTTTCTCAGCACAAAACACTTCATGAAAGCACTCCTGAGCACACAGCCAGCGCTTTACTGCCAGGGAAAAACGCTTTTTATGGCTCATTTGTAGCTTAATATTGCAACAACAGTTACTGATAGAAATAATAAATAAAACAGGACCCAGTATGGACCCTTGTGGGACACCATCTTGTATATTTCACATCACTTTCAGACCGCTTTCTTTGTCCCAAAAGGGTCATTCAGTTTCACCGCCTGCCTAGTCATCGGAAAGCTAGAAGATTAACCTCTATCATTCAAGCAGTCATTCCTTATTGATGGTTGACGCTCAGTTCAAAGATTAAACATTAATAGATATTCTACAGGCAAAAACGTACCCGATGAACAGGTTGTCCTCATGTGAACTCCGTTGTGACTTTTGTTCCAGGTCATGATCAGGAAGAAAAGTGTCGCAGCTTCATTGAGCTGACACCAGGAGAGACACAAGGTTAGTTTTTTTTTACAACATAAAGCTTTTCCTTCTCTTGTTTCCATGACAACGGACGACCATTTACTCCCCAACCTCACCTGAGTGGTCGTGTGCTTCCAGGTGTCCTCTGGCTTTCGGTCATCAGTGAGTTCATGTACATCGGTCTTCTGGCAATGGGCTTCCTGCTGATGTGGGTGGAAGCGATTTGCCTCTGTGCTAAGAGGGAGATGAACGCCCTCAAGATCAACGCATATGCTGCCATGTGCACTGTCCTCTCGGGTAAGGACTCTAAACACATGATGCCTGTTTGAAATAACTGAGAACTACGTCTTAATTATGTAGCCTGTTAGGAACGTTCACTTTAAACACGTTGGAGGCTAAAAGCAAATTCATGGGTTGACTGCAGGTGAGGAGTTGGTTTACTTGGTGAGGTTTCTGGATGCGAGAAGGTAAAGGATCCAAAATTCAACTCATGCAGGAGACTGCTATTACTCTGTAAACTTCTGCTTTAGTTTATTTTTTACATCAAGTCGTCTTTTCTTAAACTTTCTTGGGGTTTCATGATTGCTGTGGCATTCACATTTGTTCTTCTGTGTAACTTTTCCTTTTTCCCTCCTTTAAAACACTTGTTTGTCTTCTTCCTTCTCTTTTACTTCGTCTTATGTTTGCTTTCTCTACCAGGTTTGATGGGGATGATGGCCCACATGATGTACACCACTGTTTTTCAGATGACTGTTAGCATCGGGCCCAAAGACTGGAGGCCGCAGAGCTGGGACTATGGATGGTCTTTTGCGTAAGTTTTGGTTCTACTTTGCCAAATTAAATTTCTTAATGTAAAAGCAACTGCAACGTACTCCTGCAGTTCATAAAGAGCAGTGAACAATTGGAAAGGAAAGTTTAAATGTGAATATAAGCTGTTGACCGACTCAATCTTACCAATGTTTGGGAAACAAAGAACCAAAGATTCCAGACTTCCCATTAGCGCCTGGACTTACAGACGCCTATGAGCATGAGGTTAGACTGACTAGAGGTAGCTGCATTTAAACGCCAAATATTCTGCAATAATGCAAAAATGGACTTTGCTGTGCCACACGCTGACATCCTTCTTTCCTGTTCTCACCAGAATGGCGTGGCTGTCGTTCAGCTGCTGCATGGCCGCCGCTGTCGCGACGCTCAACTCCTACACCAAGACCCTCATTGAGATGAAACACCGCGCCCGGATGAGGCTGGAGGAGGCGCGTTCTGCTGCCCGCGCCCCCTCATATGAGGAGGTGGTGCGTGGCAGTACTGCAGGGGTGTACTCCGTCAGTCAGCTGATACAACTCGGCCAGCAGGGGGTGCTCATAGACCCTCTTTGGCCCAGAGGAGTGGGACCAGCGGTTGGACCTTTGGCGTGTGGCGCCGGAGCACTGCTTGTTGGTGGGGGAGGACTTGGAGTTGATGGGATGGAAGCTGATTGCGTTGGAATGGGAATGGGAGGAATGATGAGCATAGGCGGAAAGGGGTGTGGAGGAAATGGAGTTGGCATGGGAGCTGTGGGAGGAGTTGGGGGAATGGGATTTGGAGTAGTGGGACCAATGGGAGGAATGGGGATCGGAGTGGGAAGGCTGGTGGATCACCACGGTTTAGTTGTCGTTGAGGGATGCGGCGCTGAAGGATGTGAAGACTGCGAGCGGGAGATGGACGAGATGGATTACGCTCTGCAGGACGAGCGAGAGGGGGAGCTCTGCTAAGAGGACTTGGAGGAACATCTTACCATTTAACTGCTGATTGTATCAAGCAGTGGTTTACACGTTTGTTTCTTGGCCACTAGGGGGCAGAAAGGCACAAAAGCAAGCTAAACAGGGTTACTAACTCTCCGCTCTGATGCTCTGTTGGATTATCACACTGCCACAGGTATAATGTACGCAGACCTGCCTCATTATGAAACCAGTGCAGTTGTGTTTTGTGCTAATGGATTGCTATCGAAGCCCAATATCTACTCTCCTTCTATTCACGATTTGTTCTCCATCTAGAGAGGGAGGCAAACACTGTTTGGCTTGTCTTGTATGAGTTGGTCAATCAAACCAGTGACCTCTGACTCTGATCATGAGAACAATGTGCATCAGAACCAAAACCAGAAGCTAAAAGAGGCTAAAGGCTGCATAGATCCATATCAAGAGAAGGGACCCATTTTGATTCCTTATCCATCGCTCTACTCATAGTCTGCTGCTGATCCAGGGCCCGGTCAGGAAGCAGACCAAGCAGACAAGTCAACACAAACCTCATCCCAGACAGATTTTCCAGAATCTTTTTTGGGGGATTCCAGATGTGTTTGATGTCTGTAGCAAGTTTGGAACTACCCCCATAAGTTCATGGGAAATCTCTAAAAGGACGCATCCTGATCAGATGCTCCTTCCACCTGAAGAAGCAGAGGCCCCAATCCCAGCTCCATCCAGACGTCAGAGCTCCTTATCCTGTTCGTAATACCGAGGTCAGATTACATGTTAGACTCAGACGCAGCCATCGATCAGTCGTTCCCGGGGTTGTGTCACATAGTGAACGACAAATCATGGCTACATCAGGGACGCCTCACGACCTCCTGACAGAAAGTCGAGCCTTCTACGCTGTGATCTGTTACGTCAGTGGCGTTGAACAATGACAGCACAGAGCACTCTGAACGAGTTTAAACTAACAGTATGTCGTGGTGCGAGGACCCCGAGGAAAGGTTGGCAACAACATCTCTTTAAAATGTGTCGTCAAGCGACTACATGACACACCCTCGTTTGTTTGTTTACAGCCTTCTTTGGGTCGTCTAGCCCCGCCCCCTCCTCCTTCCAACATCATCACCCCACTTGTGATGATTAGTCAGGTCCCACTCTGTCACGTCTATGGGTCAAGTCATGGCACCAGTTTATGGTTAAGATGATGTACAGTGTTTCCCCTAGGTTTACAGCGTTGGGGGGGTGGGGACAAGCCGACATGCCGACACAGCGACACGACGACATAAACACTTGAAGGAATCTTGGTGTTCATGTGTTACTTTTAATGACAGCTGTCCTTTTCCAATGGAAAGGTATCCTTAAATGACTTCTTTCTCTGATTTCCGACTCTATCCACTATCTTATCTCTCCAATAAAGGCACAAAAAGCCCAATATAATGGTAGGGAAAACACTGATGTAGTCTGACCTCGGCATTGGACGAGCCGAGCGGCCCTTCACTGACTTCGGTTTCTTTTCTGTCTCTACCGACAGCTCATGATTCATTTCCTGTTCTGATGTTGGACTTTGATGAGAGTTGGAAAGACAGGAACACCAAAGTGTCACTTTTGCAGAGTATTGGTTTTAAAACTTGTGTGTTTGAATCAGAGTGTGTAAATGTTCAATGAGAAGACTGTTGCAGACTCATTTTATACCATCTTTAAATCCTGCTGAAAGCTGAGGTGTGATTTCTGGATTGGCAGTTCTTTACGTCTCATAAGAACAAACTGCTTCCTGCCTCGACTCAAACTGAACTCCACACGATGGAAAGAACAGTTTTTTTGTTATTCTATGCAGTAAAGATGAGCTTGTTGTTTTCCCCGGATTGTTTTGACACTGGAATGACTGAAAACATCGAACGCTACCTTCAGTTTTCTTTGCTCGTGTTAAAGCAGCCTTACACCGACTTCTTCAGGGACTCCATGTTATTTATGACTCATGGGAAAGTGCGTGATGTGAGAATGTATTTAAATGTGACGGATTGTTGAATTTGATATTTCTGATGTTGGTCGTTGATCTGTGTTTGTGTATGAATGGATGAAAACCCCCCTCAGGTAAGGTGATGAATAAAAACATATTTATCAACACACGGGGTCAAATCACCTCAATCTCTGAAATCTGAAATCTGAATGTTGCACATTTAAACTTTTCAGTAAGAACACTAAGGCTTCATCTTGGACTTTAGTGTCTCAGACCAAAACAAACTCCCTCAGCGCACCATCCTCATTATGACTCTACTAACACAGTGTCCGTGAGTGGGCGGGGCCTATCCTCTACACCCACATGTTGGCAGGACTAAGGGTAACTCAGAGCTGAGAGTTTTTTGATTTTATTCAATGTGCTTCCTCTGGCACTCTGGAGTCCTCTGCAGCAGATGACAACCTGAAGGAGGCGCTGTCTGTGTGAACACAGCGCTGAGAACAACAAACCCAGAGGGAGTTTGACCTTTTCATCACTATCGGCTATAATAATCTTTAACATGTCCTATACTTTACCTTTAAAAGATAAGAAGGTTTAAGAATGCCACTTTGAGACCAAAATGTGGAAAATAAACGATTTGTTTTCTTCTTGTATCACCAACTCGTTTACATAAAATACATAAATGTCTTCTGTAACCTGAAGCTCGATCACCCGGGTTTTATGGGACCAGACTTCACAGCTGCTCACTCGTGTGTTTATTTCCAAGTGTTTTATGTTTGTCTGCAGCGAGAGGAAAGAAGTAAAGAGAATCAACGATTACAGCAACAGAGAGATTAAGACATTAAGGCAGCTGCTTTCAAATACTGGACAGAAGATTAAGTCAATAATCTCCCCAGTCAGGGAATAAGACTGAGCAAGAGAGAGAGAGATTGACTCGGAACAGGCCGTAAAGCAGAGATCAACGGGGCGGTCAGGTCAGCGAGCAGTATGAGAATAATTAAAAATGTCAAGTAAGAGGCTGACTTACACAACAGGTTTATGTAAGAGGCCTTCAGCACTGCTCGTCATTTCGCTGATTTATTCCACTTTTCCTCAAAATCCACTCGACATATACAGTATGAGCTTTCATTTATTTATTCCTCAGAGTGCTGGTTCCCAAACTTTTCAGCTCCAGACCCCCAAAATGAGGGACTCCCCGCTGTCCCTGCAGGTGGTTTAGGTGTATAATATATGGACAGATAAAGCTATCCAAATAAGAATAAAGCGATCAAAACACAAAAGAATACAACAGCCTAAAAAATTCATTTTACACCAGAAGCCATCTGCAGAAAAAGCACAGTGCTCCACCTTTTTTGTGCAGTGGCGTCCCCTGTCTATTCCTGCAGGGGGCGCTGGAGTCCCATCGATGGCGGTCTCCATGCTGGAAATGCTGTCTCAGTCTAACTTTCAGTCAACCTAACGACAGGCTGAGAGCTGGAGCTGAGGCGGGTTTTAAACCTCCTGACAAACCGTTACACCGCGCCCACCTGTCAATCAGGTCAGCTACACGCCTTATTGTGAATAACTCTTATCCTTCATCAAATCAAAACTGATGAGTCATCAAAACATTCACCCCCCGTACAGTGTGTGTCCATCCAGACATGAGCTAATCACACCTATTTGGTTTTTTGAACCAGGCTGTAAACATGTTCATCTCTGCTGTAAAAACAGGCTTTTTAGAATGGGTGTGTATGTGACTTCCTGTGCTTCTGCAGCCAGCCTCTAGTGGACACTCCAGGAACTGCAGGATTTTACAGGTTGCTGCTTGGTTATTCCTCTCTCTCTCTCTCTCTCTCTCTCTCTCTCTCTCTCTCTCTCGCTCTCGCTCTCTAGTTTTGGACTCTATCCACCATCCTGGTTCTAAATAAAGACTTAAGAAGCCCCAAAAATAAACCTTAAAAAAACGTTATTATGAAACAATATTAATCTGTTATCCAGAGACTTTCATCTGGTTTAGTGTGACTTAAAAAAAAATTGACACCGTAAGACAGGACGACATCTGGAGTGTGTGGGAGGAGCGAAGGCTTTGGTGCCATGTAGGACCAAAATCCTTCCACATCTTAAAAAAAATGACTGTTAAGCAGAGACTCCTACAAGTACTGAACTCTGAATGGATGAGTTAATACTGATGGACTCTTTACTCAGCGGCCTCTACCATCAGTGTGTGAATGGATGAGTTAATACTGATGGACTCTTTACACAGCGGCCTCTACCATCAGTGTGTGAATGTGTATGAATGGATGAGTTAATACTGATGGACTCTTTACTCAGCAGCCTCTACCATCAGTGTGTGAATGTGTGTGAGTGGATGAGTTAATGCTGATGGACTCTTTACTCAGCAGCCTCTACCATCAGTGTGTGAATGGATGAGTTAATACTGATGGACTCTTTACTCAGCAGCCTCTACCATCAGTGTGTGAACGTGTGTGAATGGATGAGTTAATACTGATGGACTCTTTACTCAGCAGCCTCTACCATCAGTGTGTGAACGTGTATGAATGGATGAGTTAATACTGATGGACTCTTTACTCAGCGGCCTCTACCATCAGCGTGTGAAGGTGTAGGTTTGACCTGCAGTGTAAAAGAGCTTTGAGTAATCAGAAGACGAGAAAAGAAACAAACAAGCTGAAGTCCGTTGCCACGACGACAACAGAGTGTAAAATAAAGACTTCGGACACCTTAAATTATATTACAATATCGTGGTTTGAAGTTATTGAATTTATTGTGAAGGTAAATCAAGTTTTACATGCTGTTGTACATGAACAAACCTCTTGAATATAACGTTACTGAAACATCAAATATAGGATTGTGAATATGGAAGGATCGGACACAGTGACACACAGCGTTCAATCAGAACTAAAGCCAGGGTACGAGTACACCGCTCTGCATGTCAGCTGGAGGTTTAAAAGTAATTCCAGGAGAGAAACAAAGACATATTTCATGTTAATGAGACTTGAACTAAAGCACATGACATGGTATCATATTTAAATGTAGTTCGGGCTGCTAAGACTCACCTTAATGATTAGATTTTAAAGAAAATTCAACAAACTAGCGACTGCCTTCATCTACGGCGACGTCAGTGAAAACGCTCGTCTTATTGGAAAAATAAATAATGATACGTCGACTTCCAGGTGGACAGCCGTCACCTGCACATCCTGTGAAATTGCCATGGTAACCGTATTCTCAGGCAATCACTTTTGCTTTGTGTTGTTTGTTTTTTAACACTGATAGAAACATACTGTGTGATTTAGAAAACAGCTCACAAACATGGGTTACAAACTTAATAATAATAAAAACACAGAAGGAGATCCTGTATCAATGTTTACTCTGAAGCGACGGGGGCGTTAAGTGTCACACCCGCTGTATTTACACACGTGGTGACGATGCAGTCGGGTGTCATGGTAACAGCAAGAGCGAAGAGTAAAAGTGGAAAAGACGGATCTGGAGAGGGGAACGGGGACTTTGGGGTTAAGAGTTACTTTAGAGGTTGATACTGGATCAAACGCAGGGCTGCTTCATTCTCCAACACGCCTTTGATAAACTCGCCCTCTGCCACTCGATCTGCAGCGAGAAAGGAAAAGAGAAAGAGGAAGTTTAGTGCAGCTTATGGAGGGGATCTAAAGGGGAGCCGGCTGTCATAGTGCAATGAAACTTTTCAAGAGGTGAAAAAGGTTTAAAAGTGTCTTCCTATGATGATCTCCATCAGGCCCCCTTCTGTGTATCACAGATTACCTAACCATGGTTGGCCAGAAGGACTTGTCATACTGATGGAGGTTGTGTTTGAAAATGGAGAACTCTTTATTTTAGGACCAGTACACCCGGTGGTACATGAAGTCACATGCAGGGTTTACAAAGAAAAACTTTCCAAATCAAAATAACCTTAAAAGACTCCTGGAACTGAAAAATATTCTGAACAGGCCAATTCATGCACGAATAGCTTACCCTGGAGCTAAGCTAAATAATTTCACTGCCGGAAAAGCTCAAAGAAGTTTAAGTTATCTTGGTCATATGTTTAAACTCGCTTGAGAGAATTTGGAAGTAATTGGGAAGATGAAGCTCATCCAGTCAAGAAATTGGATTTAGAGTTAAAAAGAGATCATACCACCCAGAGAAACACCAATGGATACTACCAATCCAATGATGCTGACAACGACCTGGGAAGCCCACATTAAATCAGGATGCTAGCAGCAGTGGGGTTGTTACTAGCCATGCTAATAATAGCTTGGTCACTGACGGCACTTGTGGCTCAGTTGGTAGAGTCTCAAAGACATTCCATTTCAGTATGCTGGAAAACTTTGTTACATTAAATGGACGAGCGGTCATGAAAACCATTTCTTCCATGCCGGTTTAGGACAATGCAGCATCCACTAAGAGGCTCCTGCTGCCAACTGGCTTAGATGTCTGCACTGCGGCACAGTTAAGGGAGCATATACACCTTTGTGCATGTTTTGTGTGTTGGAATGTCTTTTTGACTCAATTGCAGAGGATTAGAGGGCGCAAAAGCCATGTAATACTTTTAGGAATCAGGCCTTTTAATGTAGAAAATGACACGTTTTGTAAAAATTCCCTTCTCAAATGTCTCCATGATAGCTTACCGTTATCACCCTTGTTAAAGAACTTCCAGAGTTTATCTGACCTCTTCTCAGCTGTGTTTTCATCCTCGTCCAGATTAGACAGTTCATCTTTAGGAATCAGCTTGAAAATAGCCTGTTGGATTAATAAAGCATAAAACACAGATTGGTGAACTCATTGGACCTGTGGTGTCCTCTTGGACCCGTTCTCCCTTATTCAATCTTCCCAGTAATCTCAGTCAGAAATGTTGTTAAATCTATTATTCTTACTTTAATGACTACAAAAGGAGAGAACCCATCAAACCTAAATACTCATTGAATCCCAAACATTATGAACTGTTAATGTGTCCATTGAAGAAATACAGAACACACTCTCTGCGAGTGAGGGATTACCCAAACTGCTCTTTGGCTGCCCTGTCATTGTTCTGTGATTGGACCTCTCTAATCTTCTAAATTGAAATGTGGTGGCTTCAAAGAGATCTGAAGGGGAAGTAATGAATCAAATCCCCCCCTAAAAATAGGGAAGTGTATTTTTGTTGTGTAATTTAATGCTGGATGTTAATGTTGGGTTCCTTACTCTGTCACTTTTAATCGGACTTGTACATGACGTCCTGGGACATTGACAGATTGGATCTATAAAAGCAGCATTTAACATGTATGAGATACGTGTCAACTGTAAGTGTATCACCCACAGGAGATGGTGGTCAGCTTGGATGGTCGTCAGCTTGGCCCCTAGCAATGAGTAAGGTCTTTTACCTGCTTTTTGTAACATAACAATGAGTAAGGTCTTTTACCTGCTTTTTGTAACATAACAATGAGTAAGGTCTTTTACCTACTCTTTTGTAATGTTAACAGATAAAGAGTAAGGTATTTTACCTGCTTTTTGTTAAGTGTCTTGAGATAACACTTGTTATGAGTTGACGCTAAACAAATAAAATTGAATTGAATTGAATTCATTGAAATACCAGTACGGAGTACCAGCACAAAAGCTAGGCTATACCTCGCTGCAGAGGGTGCCATGCGTACCACGTAATTGAGCTAATTGTAAGAAAAATACTCAAAAAAAATAAAAAACAAAGTAAGTGTGCGCTACATTAAGACATTTCTCAGTGCCGTAGTTTGCCATCAGCACACCATTTTGTTTTAGCATTACATAGTTGCACCAGTAACCAAAGTAACAGTCCCAAATCATCCAGTATGCAGATGATACTGTTGTTTATACTTCATCTTTTTTTCTGCTTATGCACATTGAATATTCAACACATGGTTAACATAGCTCATATGAAATGCTTTTGGCTTATTTATTAGTTTTTCATAGGATAATTGATATGTTAAATTGGGCTATGGGGTCCTGCAAAATGTCATTGATGTTTACACTCAACAGTAAAATCATTGGGCCCATCGTTCACTGATCTTTCATGCATTGCAAGTAACCTTAATCTTAACAAATAAGGAACTCGGGTGAATCAGGAGTACCTGCAGCTTTGCATCAACAGGGGAAGCTGATGCAATTTTGTGTATGAATGTAGCTTCATTACTGTTGGCAAAGACTTGGAAGTGGGAGAGTAGACGGTAAAGGAAGAAGTTTGTGTGTTGAAAAAAGGCTGGAAAAGTGTTTTCCTGTCTCACCCAAAGCCACTTTGTTTGATGCCCACTTGCAGAGTCAGAGTGATGCCTTATAACTCTTGATCCAAATTTGTCATATAGTTCAAAATAATGTCTCTTCTGTTAAAAATACTTTGTGACATCTTTTTTAAGTATACAACAACCTCCTGTTAGAACCGTCTATATTTACACTCCTGTCCTGACTCCAAAGCTGTCCGTAGGCTTAACCCTTAATTTATCCTAAACTGTTTATCGGCATCAATTAAAGTTTAATCCTGTTATAAATAGGAAGGTAACTAACAAGGGTATGAACATGGGATGATGTGCAGTTTTTATTAATGCATTAATTATTAAAGGTTGAGCTATTCAGAGTAACATTGACAAATAAAATATTTCTTTTGATACTATCACGTTCCTTATCCAGAAACATTCCTCTGATCTTTATGTGCGTATATATTCAAATGTAAATTTGGTTCATGTGGCTTTATATCCACAGTGTTTATATATTTCAGTCGCTGTGATCCTCTATCTCTTCATGCCCTGCGCTATCTGAGTAACAATTCAATTGACAATCCTTTTCACTCACTTGTAATCAACTCTTTAAACCACCAAAAGTGTTAACATGTTCCTCTCTCAAAGAACTCAGAGGAACTTTAACTTAACACTTAAAGTTGGTTTACACACAAGTGATATCTGAAAAACCTTCCTGCCGTATCTGACTCTGGAAGATGCTCTCGAATACAGCTCAAGCTAGGTTAATATAAACGTGTATGCAGATGATACTATTTACTATGAGCTCATTTCCTCATGCTAATGTTGTATCGTTGAAGAAAAGAATGTCAGGGAATCAATCAGTTATTCCTTTTTCTACATCGGTCTAGTATGAACTTCTTTACAGATGATACTGTTGTCTATTTAGTTTCAGTTGTGTAGCACTGTTCCTTCAGACACTGACCAGATGCTAAATAAAGACTACAATCCGTTAGCAAGGCTATTACGTAAATTCTCTTTCCCCGAAACTCACCGTGCAGATTTCCTTGACCTCTGACTTGGTGATGTACCCGTTCTTGTCCACGTCAAACAGTGAGAAGGCCCATTCCAGTTTTCTGGTGGTCTTTCCCGTTGAAGTCATGTGGAGAGCAACAATGTACTCCTTGAAGTCCAGTGTGCCATCGTCGTTTGTGTCAAAAGAGCGGAAGACGTGCTGGGCGTACGTTTGGGCGTCACTTTCTGGGAAGAACTTGCTGTAGATGATCTGAAATTCCTCTTTGGAGATGCGCCCCGTTGGACACTGCTTCTTGAAGTTTTCGTACCACTGGACAATCTCCGTCTCTGAGAACTTGGTGTTGAGTTTAAGGTCCTCCAGAATCTCCTTGGACACGGCACCACTCTTGGAGTTTCCCATTGTTGATAGTGTTTAGTATTTTTTGAGGAATATTAAAGTGATGATTGTTTTGGATAAGTGCAATCAAGACACGTCTCCAACCTATGGAGTTACCTCCTCTACGCTGGGAAAGCGGTAATTAGAGGACTATTCCGGTGGTACGGCTGCAGTGTCCTTCTTGATCCTGGCCTACAGCCCACAGAAGCAAGTGCTGTGAAGAGAGCAGAAGCCGCTTGATAAGCCAATTAAGCCAATCAACAATCAGTAATAGCAGCAAGAGGTGTCACGAACAAGGTGCAACGCAGGTCAAAGCTGGAGCGCTTCTGCATCTACATGTGAAGTTTAGTCCATTAGAGTGTTTATGATGTCTGCTAAACTTTAGTCCACTTTGTGTCAAGACTCAAAGTAGACTTCAGTTTGTTTGCTGATAACTCATCAACTCTACAACATTAGCCAAAACATAACCCCATGTTACTGCAGCATGGCATAACTTACAATAAATAATACCAATAAGTGAGAAATGATTTTGAAGACACATTTTTAGAAGCAGAGCGGGATCTTCTGGCACTACTTCACCAACTAGCAAAGTGCATGGAGAGTGAAAAGCTTGAAGAGGTCAAAATGTTCCGGCAACGGTTATACTGTGAAGATCAACTTTATTAACAAATGAGACCGACGCGTTTTGGCTTTTGGCCTCATCAGGGTCATGAAGACACGCTTTAAATAATTAAATATAAATATTCTCACTGCATTCTGACTAAAACTCTAAATACATGTGAAATATGAAGCAGTTCTGTCGTGACACTTAACAACTATAGATCCTGCAGACATCCAGATGTTTTTCTTCTATATGATCGTGGAGTTAAAATCTAAAATCAAATGTGAACCTTGATATCTGTAAGATCCATATGGTGCTCTTTTTCCCAGAGTCAACCCTTCTGTCTGTGCAACAAGCAGGTACTGAAGTGAGTCCATCCTGTGACTTTACAAACTGGGATTTGTAGCTTAAATGGCGGTATAGAAAATGTTGTGTTGTAGCGTCTTTAAATTGGAATGGTTTCCTTCAATTTCAACCCCGTCCAACTAAAGGGCAAGCCAACATCTACCATTTCATCGATTGAATGGTCAACAATATGCACACGATGAAGGGTCTTTATTGTTTTTAAAACAGCCTCCAGCTAAGTTGGTAGTGAACGGTACTTAAGGCTTTTTTTGTGACCCACCTTCAAAACAAGTCTTATTCACTTTTAGTGTAACCCTGTAAAGTGCAACACAATTCAGATGAAGTCGTTCTCTACACTTAAACTCTCAACATAATGGACAAATTGTAGATGTTTCCTTTACATCAATGTAACGGCTTTGTTATTCCTCTACTCGTTCAGATCAACCCTGATTATTTGTTTACCTTTAATAAACTTCCTTAACCCTATGATCAATTATATTTAGTAAAGTCCAAAGTTTCAAAACTCTCCATAGTGTGGCGTTTCTGATATCTCCCATTGTCAGCGTAGTGCAGCTCAGTTTGTTTCCTACCTGTGCGAGCAGCCGAGGCGTCCAGGACAAACAGTGATGCTCTGTGAGTGAGCAGCAGTGGAAATCAGCCTCCGCCTGCTGAGATAAGTCAATTGAAGAGGATAACCCTAAAGGAGGAGCCTCAGCGAGCAGCACCCACATCAACCTGTGGGCTTACTGAGATTCAGATTTTTTTTTTTTCATCCTGTATTTATTTGGCCACATTTATCTGAAGATGTTTCTCAGGGTGTCCCATTTAGGAGGCTGTAGTAGTCCTCCATAGCAACCCGCCCAGGTTCAAGTCCGGCCTGTGGCTCCTTTCCTCTCTCCCCTGTTTCCTACTCTATCAACTTTCCATATCTATCAAATACAGACAAAAAAAAAGCTTTAAAAAAGGTGTTTCTCACAAGCAGGAGAGGAGAAACAAAATGCTGTTTTGAATCTGTGCAGAAGTGGGGCGTAAAGGTATTCTTTGAAACCTAAAACATGAGACAAAGACTGGGATCGGCTCTGGTTTGGATCCAAACTCTCTTATGATCAATCAGGTCGGATTTTGGTCCTGTTCCCAGTCCGTATGTAATTATACACAGAACTTAAGTACATCTGAGAAGACCTGTGATCAGGGCTAATTACGAGCAAACTGTGTGTGTGTGTGTGTGTGTGTGTTTGTGTGTTTGTGTGTAAACTGGCTAACGAGACTGACGGAGGATTAGATAAGAAGAGTAACAGCTGAGGTCACGCACACTAGGAGGCAACGCCAGCAAGTCAAAGGAAAGATGGATACCTTCTTCACGTGGTGGAACATAAAAGTCATCTCTTCAGTCTGTTCATTCTGTATAAGATACAGACAGAGAATCTCAGGACCTGTCTGCTGACGACACAGACCTCTGGGAGCCGTGGCAAACTCTTCAGTGCTTCAGGCTCAGCCAGCAGTTAGCGATTAAGGAATTCCAGCCAAAAGTGTTGCCTTTGTTTACAATCAGATCAAGGACTACGTAAAGAAAGGACGGTGGAACACCTCGTCTCATGTGAAGCCAAAAGACAAATAGGCAGTATATGTGATAAACCCCGCCTCCTCCATGTTTCCAGATGGGACATGGCTCAAACTGTAAAATCAAATACACGTCAAATACATTTTTATCAAACCCAGTTTCGCCATGACAGTTCTGATCACACTCTCTGAGAAGTTAATTCATGCTATGACTCAGTATGAAATGCCAGGGCTGGGTACGTGTCTGTAGTCCAATGTCAGCACTTTTAACATTGATTTGATAAACTAGGATCTGAAACACCTCCAATGGTAGAAAATATGCAAAACTACAAAATCAATCTGATGCAAAGATATCATTTTCTAAACATTTGGTGTCTTTCAGCGCAGGGTATTGCGCCGTCGGACAGCACGCACCATGCCCCACAGAAGAACTACAAGATCACTGGAAAACTACAAAATTTAGAGGAGAACTACAAGATCACAGGAGAACTACAAGATCAGAGGAGAACTACAAGATCCCAGGAGAACTACAAGATCACAGGAGAAGAGAGTGCACAGAGTATGTGGAAAGAGCCGGTCACAAATACAGTAAAAGCAAGGTTACTAAACTTGTATGCAGATGATACCGTTTGCTACTTATTCATTTTCTCTTTCGATTGTAGAATGGTTGAAGAACAAAATGTCAGGGAGTCAAATATTCAATCCTTATTCTACACTTGTCTTAAATCAACTTCTTTGCAGATGATACAGGTATATTTAGTTCCTGTTTGGCAGACGTGGCTCTAGCAGTATCCCTGCCCCCGAAGACTTTGACCAACCCTAACCCCATTGATTTGTAAATGTTCAAGATTGGAGCGTATTACACCAGCTTACATCAAAAGGTGCTTCACCAGTGGCTTATCAGTGGTTATTTTCCTGTTTGAGATTAAGAGAAGTCCTTCAGTTTCACTTGGAAATCACCAGGATTAGAATACGCAGCAGGTTTAATCTGCTGTAAAAATAAACCTGATCAAATGATGTGACAAAGTAAAACTCAGACTTACACGCAGGACAGATTTAACAGATTAAATACAGGGAGTGGCGGCGGATGGCTCTGTTTTGTACAGTGAGGGATTTAAATGTCCCTAGCTGAGTATTGACAGCTGATCCACCATCTGCTCTGCTTGATAGGGAAACATGGTCCCTCCATAGGTGTGAATTACCTGACTGAGGCATCATGGGAAGGCAGCAGCAGTTTAATGTCTGAACCCTGCAGGGATCAGACATCATGACTTTTAACCACTTTGACCTCACCTCTCACCTCCATTAGCTCTCCACCAGCTTACTGTTACCTATTTAATGGTGACAATACCTCCATGCACATATTTATGTTGAAAATATTTCATTCAGAAATCCCTCCCATAAAGTGATTTCATTGTCATGGTCGACAAAAAGTGCCTTCTTCAACCAAAGCTAACGTGAGGATGCTTCAGTCAGACTCATACTCACTTTAATAACATTACAGTTAGGCCTAATGTGTGGTGATTTCTTGCATTAATTCTCCATCTCTGACTTTCTAAAATTACCCAGTTAAAGGACAGAGAAAAAAAGTCTGTAAACGGGTTTCAACGTTAGCTACAATCGTTAGCATATCTGGCTGACTGGCTAATTATCTAGCTAGCTTACATTGTAGCTAACAAATTGGGCCACACAAAAAGACTTTAGATGTTGAAATGTAAGTGTTTTTCTCAAAGTAAAAAAAGCCAGTTATTTTTCTGTACCTCTGTAGTTTGGGATGGTTTATCAAATCTCAACAGACTTTTGCAACTCAAATGGGAAACCGTCCGTAAAGGGTCAGCTGTTTTATCATGTCGTCATGTGCTGCATTCATTTTTTGGATGTGGTAAAAAACCTGGATTTCTTATGTTTGTTCACTTATCAAAAAAGGGTGGGGAGCCCTTGATTGTGTTTTTTTTGTGGTGATGATGATGAAGTCCTGAATAAATGTAAAACCTACACAAAAGATACCAGATGTGATTATTGCGTGTATCCTAGGTTTTATTACAGTGGATTGTTCAGGTAGCCACAATGAGCTAATGTGAAGCTAACTGCCAGTTTCCACAGGATCCTATGCATCGCGTTTTGTCTGCGCCATGCAGCATTAGTCATTTCTTGTGTTTCTACTGTGTGCACCACGGTTCATCTCTGAAACATTCCAGCAGCGCTACTCCGCTCTGACAATTTAAAAGAAAGACAAATTAACCTGCCCACACTATCTTTAAGTGAACTCTTGAGTACAGCTACTCGTGACTGCACTCTGCTTTTTGTACGTTTCATAAACAGACCCAGTGGGGTATGGCGTGCACCGTTGGATGGAACAAAACCGCGGTGGAGATGGAACTCACGCACACACACACGGATCCTGCAGAAACCGCCAGTAAGTGATGGTTGAACTCTGGACGACTGCTGTGGATCCAGGCGTAAGCTCACAAACTTGTTAGATAAAAACAACAGCAAACTCATTGCATGTTTATTGTAAGTGCATTCAACCTGATTAAGATGACGTAATCACCAGCAGACATCCTCCTCAGCCACTTTGATGCATCGCTGCTTTATCGCAGGACAAGTATAGAGCAGCATTTACGGTAAGCTCTCTTGGCAAGCTTCTGATCTTCAAAATAAAGCAACTTAATTCCTCTGCTGACGTGCTGAGGCCTAACTTCAACTGCCTGCCGGGACGCTGGCACTGTCAGCCAAGGCTCAACAGGTGATTTAGATTTTGCAATCTGGATGCTGAGGAGCTTTGGAGAGTTCTGCCAGAGGGCTTACAAAGACCAAAATCAGCAGCCACCTAACATAAGAAACAGGGTCTAAAGCAAAGACGATGCAACTTTTAGATGAAGAGAAAATAACTCAACTCTTTCCTGTTTCATTCACATCCAGTACAGTACTGTGTGCTTACTTATTTCACTAGAAACACTCATTATTGTCCAGTAGCTTGTGCAGGCTAATGTCAGCTAGCTCTTGTTAGTCACTTTTGGATGAACATGTTAGACCATTATGAGAAACGTGCCCTAACCCCGGTAGTTACAGATAAATACCTTGTGACAGGCGCTGACATGTTTTGAATATGGAGCCAGAGTCAGATGTTGCGCCGCTTTGCTACCAAAAACAAACAGTTGAGACAGCATTTCCAGCATTGAGACCACCATCAACGGGCTTCCAAAGCCCCCTGCAATAACCAATGGGTGATGTCACATTCAGGCTCAGTCCACTATTATTTACAGTCTGTGAGTCTAACCCAAGCAATGGGTTTATTTCTGTCCAGGAGGGTAAAAGAATTGCTGTGCTACCCTTAAACCTTGGGTCATCTCAACAACTTTTTTAGTCTGAACTGAAATGTGAAGCATTTTGGACACACCAAAGAAAAACCTCACAATCTTTTACATCACTTTCTGTCTATCATCCAGATCTTTCCTATTTTAGACGATGGATTTTCCCCTCAGTCTACGAATACTAAAGAGTATGCATTTATTGGATTAGCAGTTTGCATCACTTGACTCTTGAGTCAAACCTTTCCTTGACAAAATCTAATCTCCAACCTGCAACCTTGTTTAGACCAGAGTTCAGGAAAGGGTATCCTCTGATTGAAAGAGAGCGAGATTAAAATGGAAGAGCAGTGAAGTTGGTGATTGGAGGTGGTGTAAGGAGGATTTGGCAGCCATGCAAAGTAGACTGAGTCAATACAGGGAATGGAAAATGAGTGGTTAAGTACTATCAAAGGGGTTTGGCTCGTCGTCGACAACTATTCTCGGTAAAGAAGGTTTAATCCAGACACCCTAATAAGCATCATGGCTGGCAGTGTGGATACTCGTCAAAGGAGGTGAGGGAGTTCAGATCAACCATCAGAGACCATGAGTGAGACCAATGTTGCTTTTCCAGGGGTACCTTGTCTAAAAATTACAAACAAATTAAAATGTATGTGCCTCAACACTGTCTAAAACAATTAGCATTAGCACTCATAAACAAAGGATTGAGTCGGAAAATGTTTCTACGGATGCTAAACCTGGAGTTGTCCTCCATTCCCTCTCAAACCTTGATATTTTTTAGACCGACCCATCTGGTGGTATGGTCGACTAGCACAGAAGGTGTTTACCAATTAGTGCTCTATAAATACACAAAATACTGTGTTGCTTCCTCTGTCGACACAAGTACAGCCAGCCAACAGAGCGATATAGGTCTCACTGCTAAGTTTGGAATCTGTCCCCTATAAAAAGCGTGGAGCACTATGACACACAGCACCCAATGGCATCAAGAAAGAGGCAGTCACATGAGTGTGACCTCTCATGTCTGAAATATTCCTTTAAAGGAGGCTTCAGTTTGGCAGCTACATTTGATTATATGTCCTCAAAGACGGATGTGACTGAGTTGAATAGCCAAGTACTTGATGTAATATCTACAATGTCTAACGTGGATGAGGTCGCACTAACGGGGTCCATGTTATGTACCAACATAGAATACCATGAACTGTTTTTTTCTGGGGTCCAGCACCAGTGACAGACCAGTCAGAGCTTGTTTGGTTTTAAGAGCTCAGAGATATATAGTATGGTGTCGTCAGCATAAAGACACATTTCATAATTCAATTCTGTGTTCACTATATTTTAATATACAAAATATTTATAATTGAACAATATATATACACATTTCAGGCTACCCCTCTTGGGGTCAGGACCTTAAGCCTGCACTATGGTCTGGTTGATCCCCCTCCCTGGATGTTTTAGTGAAAACTGAGTACGAGAATATCTCTATACAACATTTTACTTAACTGATTGATTTCTTCAAGACACTTCATCTCAAACCTTGGCTGCAGAGAATTTACAACCTTTGCTCTGAGACCTGCATGTTTGGATCTATGGCCACTAGGGTGCAGCAACATTGTTTATGATACAACAGACCAAGGGGTTATTTATATAACCTCCTTGAAGCGATTAAAGAGAAACCATATTATCAGTTTCAAGTGTGATAAATTTATTTTGCTTCCACCTCTTTCTCAGTGTCCACACAGCTCCTGAGATTCAACTCCTCGGCTGCTTATCGCTGCGATATATTCACCAGCTTGTCAACAACTTTGTCTGCCAACTTGTAGGGTTGGGCGATTCACCTACAGCCAATCACAGGGGATTTCTCTCACCACATCTCCCCCTATGATGAAGATGGGCCAGCAGGTGCCAACAGTTCCAGTCTCACTGCAAAAGAAATAGTGCCAAAGACGCTCAACAGCGGCCTGTGGGGCCTGTGAGGGCTCTTTAAAGAAGATGTCTCTAAATCTCTACAGGCTGAATGCGGTATCGATCCGTTCAGATTATGTCATCCAAAGACATTTCTATTGGTGGCTGCGTCCAACTGTCTTTTGGAAAAGGACGCCTGAAAGCAAAAAACAGCTAAAAGAAAGCTGGTTGACCTTTTACATTTCAATTATAACCTTCCCAACAGTGGCTCCAATCCAACATGCAAACAATCAAAGTGAAACCGTGGTCATGCCAACGTTGGCAGCAACAGTGTTTCCCCCCAGAAGCCTCCGGAAACATTTTACGGCTCGACAACATCAGGATCAGATATATTATGGGACAATGAGATGAGTTTGTAGAGAGGTCCTTTAAAGTGTGTTTAAAAATCTGTGAACGTCCTCATGATAATAAAAACCATTCAGGCTATAAAGAAGTCAAACATCTGATTGTGACTGCAAGAGCTGTGTGTGTGTGTGTGTGTGTGTGTGTGTGTGTGTGTGTGTGTGTGTGGACGGTGGCCTCGCTTCACCTGCCAGTGTTCAAAACAAGGCCAGTGAAAACACACTGCAATCCCTATAATCCCATTACTGGCTGTACAAAGACTGTCTGCAGGGGAATCCCCCCCAAGAGATATGCTCACAGGTCAAGTCAGGGGAACTGTCAGACCAAAGGAAGAGTCAAACTTAATCCCTAACTATACGGACACCTGAAGTGAACATGCATCCAAATGTTACATTCACTACATTTTTTCGTGATTACCAATAATTCAATATCTGGACTCATTTATCTCCTCATCCCACAGAGGACCCGAGAGAGAGTCTTAACACATCTCTTAGTAGATCGGGCCCAAAAAATCAAGCCCAAACCCTACCCGAGCCTGGCCCGACCCATTAACTGTATTCACGGGCCAGAGCCCGACTACAACCCGACATTTTTTTTAATAAGTTGACTTTTGGCTGTATGATTTCTTTCTCATAGTCCACTGCACAGCTCATACATTGCACCTTTTGTACATTTTGTGTTTTTTTATTTACTTATTTATATATATATTTTTTTATATTTTATATTTTACACTTTTAAATTCTATTTTATATATTGTAATATCTTATTCTGTATTATTTAAGTTGTTGTTAGTTCTGCTTTATTTCCTTGTTAATTGTTTAGCACCAATACACCAAGTCAAATTCCTTTATGTGTATATGTACTTGGCAATAAACCCAGATTCTGATTCTGATTCTGATTCTGATTCTGATTCTGATTCTGATTCTGATTCTGATTTTATAATGAAAGGTTTAATTTGTCTAAATGCCTGATCACACCGCTGTTTGTGTTGCACTCACTCTTTGATGCACTGACTATTTTAATTGATTAACTTGTCTGATCATGCACGTTCCCATAATCCCTCTGTGACCCCGGAAATGTTGTGTGTTTGGCGTTAAGATGAGAGGGGAATCTGATTACGGGGACGTGTCAGAGTGGT